ATTTTAGTCATCAATATAATTCACTTTTTTTCTTTTCAATGCTTGGTTATATGGGTAGTGTAATTCACTTATCACACCCTCATGTCTTTATGATTAATGGTCATGCATACCATCAAATTCATTCTGTGAATACAGAAGGTTATTTCATTAATTGGTTTGTATATGATGCCAATGTATAAAATAATGTTGCAAGTCAGTGCAAACTAAATTAAAATATTATTAATCAAATTGAACAAATATTGGCTAATATCAATCCATTCGTCCAAGGTTATACCAACTATGTGATACTAACTATTCACATGCACAATTAGAAATTCAACAAGCAACAGCTGATATGGAAATTGCAGCTTGTGTAATTGTTTATTCGACTGCTATTGTTCAAGAAAGGACTATACAAATCTGGCATATAAATGAAAAAACTGATTATATTAGTATTCTTAATGAACATTATGAGGCATTGCAATAACTTGGATAAAATTCGGGCAGAATTTGATAGTTAATATTGAATAAATCGAAATTTTATTATGGCAATTCTCTTTATAAAGTTATTTAAATTGAATATATAAAATTTAATTAATTTTGATGCAAAAATAGTTACTTTACAAAAATATTATAGTTTAGTAATTAAATTCTGTGACACCTCTATGATAATTACAAAGTTCTATAGAAGTTGCATTATTTTATACATGTTTAACAAATTCATCTTAGAAAAGTAGGTCGTTAACACTGCAAAAACAAACTTGCTTTATGTTCAGATTATAATAATTTTTAATAATCTGTTACCTATAATAAAAATCCTGTCTTGAAAATTTGATTTAAAGGCATATACCATTGAGTAGAGCTGTTACCCGGATTGGCTTTTCTTGTATACATCATGGGTCAAAAATTGGGTTGACTCGAGTTAAACGAGTTAGTTAAATCAGATAGATTACAATAACCAGGTTTTTCCAATATAGAAAATGAAAGAACTCTAATTACGAGCAAGGTCGAAAGTTTTTTAATACAAAACCTGAGATTTTTCCAGTTAAAATAGTTATATTTTAAAATATATTTTCAAGCTTAACCTATGTGACTAACAAGGGTCAAACCCAGGTTGCTATTTTTTGACCTGGGTCACAGCTCTACTAATAGCCCATACTGCTCTCAAGTTATTATCTTCTTTTTCGCTCAAATTAACATATTTAATCCTCATAATCATATCAGCGTAACATGGCATGATATAAAATCACAAATCAAAATTTTTTTTTTTCTAACAGTATTATAATATGACAACTACAAACAAATCTTCTATGATACAAGAAAAAAACAACACTTATATACAATATTTTCACATAAAGAATCACATAAAATAGGCATATAAAAATCAAGCCTGATATAATAATAACATATTTCAAAATATCGCCAAGAATAACATACTAAATCAAAAACATATAATTTATAACTGACAATTATTTTTGTAATCTTTATCAAAAATAAACTAAATAAAAAAATAAAAAATGACACAACGTGTACATCAAAAATTACAAACTAACTATAACAAAATAACATATGACACAATAATATTTAAGAAAAAAAATATAAAGCTTACATAATAATTTACTAAACTTTTTTGAAATTTATATTAGTAATAATTATATTATATTGTATCAAATATAAAAAAATGGACAAAACTTTTAAGAGAAATAATTTTCATAAATAAGTTTTGTAAAACTTCACGTATATCAATTTAGGTTTGGCCAATGAAATCGCAGCGTGATTGACTAATGCTGCGATTTCATTGTCCAAACCTATATTGATATACATAAAGTTACATGAAACTAATCTATGAAAATCAATTCTCAACTTTTAAAACTAATAAAACAGCAAAACTTTATAAAATCCATAATATAACAATAAAAGATAGGTGGCATGAATGTGCTACCATCGTACTAGTAATAATATAAAATAAAAGGTTTTTACAGATAAAGCTTCATGTACAATATAAATTTATTTATTTATAGATATTATTAAGTAGAAAATATAGTAAAATATAAATATTAAAGTTGATAATATTTTATCTAAACAATTAAATAAATTGTCAATATAATTTAAGTCATAATAGTAAATAAGTTTATTATTAGCTACCATATAAGTGTGAAATGATGATCATAAGTGTTATCTTGAAAACTTAGTCCTTCAAAAATAACTTGGTCTCAAATTAGCACTTATATGTGTTTTAAATTAATATATATCCTAATATAATACATAATTTACTGTTGTGATAGATGTGTTATTTCAAAATAAGAAAAGATTATTTAAATTCAAAATAGTTGATCTTCAATAAATATACATTGTTAGATAATAAAGTATTCATTATGAAGAATAATCTACATATAATATTAAATATTTATATTAGACTAATAAAATTACATACACTTATTATTATAAGGAAAATGCATATCTAGGCATATTTGAAATAATGTGCAGATCAATTAATCAGTACACAGATAGATATTTTGCACTTATACAGTAATAGTAATAATAATATGATTTAAACCTATTGGCTTGTAGCTACATAATAGCTCCAAAGTTTGAGCTAAGCTGTTTTTAAAGCAAATACTTTATATTAATATAGGTCTGAAGCTAAACTATTAACCAATTATATAAAGGCCCTTTAGGCCTTTATATAACTGAAAATCTACTAGATTGTTTCTCTTAGTAGGTTATATAAGCTATAATAGTGATTTCTTCTTTTGTACAAATTTTATAATGAAATCAGTATAGTATATTTTTTAAATACTATTTAAGTGCAATATAATACTTATAGGTATTATTTTGAAAATTAGAACCTTCAAAACCAACTTATATAGTCTTAAATTAGTGCTTATATGTAATTTTTTTTTTTTTTTGTTATTAAGATGAGGCCTTGCTTATATCTTTATTGGGTAATTTATAGAAGTAATTATATAGAAACTATATAAAAACTAATTTTTGTATAATAACAAGTATTTATAAATTATATGCAAGAATAAAAGCTTAGACTAAAAGCTAAAGCTAATTATTTGCAACCTAAATCTACTAGAGTGGTCAAGACTTATCTAGGTTTTAATAGTTAGTATATAGTTTGTGAGAATGCTGAATTGTATCCATGCTGTTGACTATTGGTTGAATTTGTGTTGTATCTGCCCTTCAGGAGGGCAGTTATTGTTATTATGCTGTTGGTCTGGCAGGCCACATAGATAGCTATAAATGAATCTTTGAGGTCTTTTCTATTGGCTTTGTACTTGTTTGTATATAATCTGTTTAGCTTGATTGGAAGTTTGTATGTTGTGCTGCTTTTTCCATTTTGTGAGTTTTTCACAATATAGCTTCCAGATTTGCTTATAAACCTTTGTAGATATATATAGAAGTATCCAAATTATAATATCGGTTGCCTCTTTGAATTGTATACCTACTGCTTGTAATGCTTGTAGTAAGTAGAATGAAATAAGTCTTTTTATAGTAGTAGGTAGTGCATGTGTTTGGGAGACAGTAAGGCAGAAGCAAAGATTGTAGCAATTACTTGTAATATATTTCCAAATGTAGAACCAGTCAACCCATTAATATGAGTTACATCTAATGATAAATGGCTAGTTAAAGCACCTACACTATGATCATCTTCATCAAAGAAGAAAATATCTTGTCGTAAAATAGAAGCAAAATACATAGATTGAATTCTTTCGGTAAGCTTTTCACTCAAAAATCCAAGAGCAAAACTTTGGATGAAATTTACACAAAGAATTAAAAAAGCCAATACAAGATACATAAGAGCCCAGAAAATTGCTTCATGAGTATCACCAGTTTCTGAGAGTGCTTGAACAGCATTACCAAAGAGAATAGCAAAGAGCGGGTAAATGCTACCTAAAATTAAATAGTCCAACTTTTTTTAGTTTGAAAAGGGATACCATACAGCATTTAATTAATCTTTTTCTTCTCACTTACCATTAATGAATGCTGCTATTATACCTACGAAAAACATAAGTAATTCAGATTTATTGGTGATTGCTATCTTCTTGAACAATTCCCAAGAAGTATAATCATGATCGTTATGCTTCAATCCCATTTCAATATCAGATTTTTGATTAGCTAATGTAGAATGAGAGGACAATACAGATTTGTCACTTAAGATATTGTTAGTCTGATGATCTCCATTTTCCTTAATAGTGTATGATGTAGTAACTTCATCTTCCGGTGGAGTTGGAAATGAATTCAATATATTAGGGGTTTCTTCATCTTTTAAAACCTGTTGAATCTGTTGAGTTTCAACAAGTTTAGAATAAAAACCTTTTATATCCATGAGCTCATTGTGTGTACCTGATTCCACAA